GTTGATAAATTTTATTAAAACATCAATAAACAAGTCCTTATTGAGGGCATACTGTCAAATACTTATACTTGTTTCTCACCTACTTTCCTGACATTGCTACAAATATTCAGAAGCAGCCAAAAGTTGGGGTCCACCCAGCTCCCTACTCTGATGAACACGAACTTGCTACAAAATACTACCTGTCCTCTTCCACCTCTCCACCACAACACTCCCAGGCACCCAATAACCTGCCTCTCCTATAAGGCCAGTGCTATGCTAAAAGCAGAGCAGAGAGAGACTAAATCCTTCCCATCTTGAAAGATTTTGTTTCTACCACCACAGGAGGGAGTAAACAGTATAGATGTTTGCCAATAGGGGCCATGAAGGAATACTGATACTATGGAATGAAAGGGGGCTTCTGGCCGTGCATGATACTTGAGTCAACAGCAAGAGATTTGGCATGGGACGGATGGCTGGAATGAATAAATGTTTGCTAGGTAAGACCGGGACTTGAGTGTGAGTATTCTAGGTGGAAAAACAAAGAGTAACAAAACCAGTTAAAGGAAAGCAATATGATACCCCACAGTGGATGGGGCGGCTATGAAATTTACCAAAGTGGGTCCACTTGGCAAGCACACAGCTAGCCCATTGGCAGTGAGCATGGGAAAAGGCCAAGCTACGGCATTTGTCATGAGCCGGATAGGGTAACAGTCAATGGGAGTTCTAAAGCAGGGGAAATGCATGCTCAGGTTTTGGACAATGCTGGTAGCAGTGGGAATTGGCTTCTTTGAGGGTGTAGGCTGTGTCAGGGAGATGAATGAAGAGGCAGCTGCACTGGCTTGAGAACTGCTAACTAGGACTTTTTTGGGTATTAAGGTAGAAAAGAGGCAAGGAACCCATAAGGTGTAAATGTCAGCTCTGGCTGACTGGAAGAATCTGGAAGGCAGGCAGGCAATCAAGAATGGACGAATGGCCAGGTGCCAGAATGAATGGCCAGGGCCCTGTGGTTCACACCTGTTATCCTAGCTATCCAGAAGACTGAGACAGGATAGTGGTTCAAACCCAGTCCAGGCAGGAAACTCCATGAGACTCTTATCTCCAATAAACTACAAAAAAAAAAAAAGCCAGATATGCAAGTCCTGAGTTCAAGTCCTGGGACTGCCACACACAAAAACAGACTGGCTATATGACTCTAGCCACACTACTAATATCAAACAATTCAGGTATGGAAGAACAACAAAGAGAACACACTCAGTGTACACACAAGTGAAATACGGTAGGGGGCATTAAAGCAGTTGATTAAGAGCCCTGGTCCTTAAAGAGTTTTAGGCTAGAGCCCCTGCCTGGAATCCTAGCTACTCAGGAGGATATGTGGATTGAGGTTCAACGCTAGCCCAGGCAGAAAAGTCTGTGCAACTTATCACCAACTAATCACAGAAAAGAAAAAAAAAAGCCAGAAGTGGAGCTATGGCTCAAGTGGTAGAACACTAGCCTCAAGCTGAAATAGCTCAGGGATGATGGCACCAAGACCTGAGTTCAAGACTAGGACTGGCAAAAAAAAAAAAATGTTTTAGGCTGGAGATACTGATCAGGAAGATGCAGCACTGTGGTAGTTGAGTGTTCCAGAAATGAATGTCACTGGAGAGCCAGAGCACACAACTTTTGGGAGGAATGCATCAAGATAATCTACTGTCAAGTTGGACTGCAGAGAAGGCTGCCTGGCCTTCCTGAGATTCTCAACCATTTGAATAGTTTCTCATTTTCATGTCCACGGCTGATAAACTTTAAAAGTTCAAGGTGTTTGATTTGCTTGCCTGACAGGCTGCCAATCTGTCTGCTTGCCTTCCTTCCCTCCATCCCTCCCTCTCCTCTATTTCTCTCTTTTCTTTTCACTTTGCCAATGCAGTAGTACACACATATAGGAGGCTCTGGAATTGAGCATAGATTCCTTTTTCAGTCCTGGTTTTGGATGAAGATGTTAAATTTCTCTGACCCTTGTGTCTTGCACTATAGAAGAGGGAGAAGGCTGAGGATGTGGCCCAGTGGCCAAGTACTTACCCAACATGTCCAATCTCTTGGAGGAGGGGAAAATCAGAAGGAGGAGAATAAGTCAAACACTCACTTAGTAGTTAGGGTTACAGTATCATAAATACCTGGTTGGTAACAAAAACCTATAACTTGAACCCTACGGTTTATTATATAAGGTAAAAAAGCCTCCTCTCCGTAAAAAGTCCCATCACCTACAAATTCAGAATCTTCACATGCCCTAACCAGCATACTTTAAACTGACTGTGTGTGTCGATTCATGTTTGAGCTGGCTTCAGCATTTCAAATTATTAAAAGGTAGACTAGAAAGTTCTACATGAGCAGGCAGATTTATTCCCCTTGCCATTCTGACTTAAAAAAGAAATGAAAGGCTTAGTATACAAATTACAAATGCAAGATGAGCTCAGACTCTCAATCTGCATTATTCTTTCCGGTCATCTGATGTAGACACTGGAACAAATCCAAGTAACAGTTTTATTCTAGTCTACAGCACACCGGTTTTTAATATACATTTTAGTGGCTTTAACAGGGTTACTTCTGAGCAGACTTTAAATAAATCCACAAAAAGTTAATACATTATAAACAAAATATACACAGCAAAACAACCGGCATCCAGATGGTCAGAAGCATGCATACAGAGGTGGTCTGGTTGGTGTTATTACTGGTACCTTACCTATTGAACAGTTCAACAATATCAGTTCTTTTGCTCTCATTCCCCCACAGTTCTCTAAAAATCAGCCTATACTTGCACACAAACTGGACTTTCCTTTAAAGTTACATAAGCTTACTTTCAATCAGGCAGTTCTACTGAGCAAGCCCACTAGTATTAAACAGGCAACAGGGGCACTAGGTCGAAAGGCAAGGTTATTTTAGTCCTTAAACCACCAACAGGAGATTAACCAAATGAAGCAATAATACATCAATCTTAATATAAGACATTGAGGGAAAACTAACAGTGAAAACTAACATACACACACATGTATACATACATACGTACATACACACATATATACACATATATGTATATGTGTATATATATATATATATATATATATATATATATATATATATCTCACTCCACTGAGCCATGATATAAGCCATGGACTACAGACACGAGTTTCTACCTGTCAAACAATGTTGTCAATATTTTTTCTATGAAAGAAAAATAAAAGAGTATATTGGGAGATATAGAAGAAAAGGCAGAAATGTGAATTAATGCATCTAAGTTTCACAATTTGAAATGAATATCAAATTGATACTATAAATCCTAAATGACAATGACTTAATCACATTGGGCATTAAGCTCTGGGCACCAAACCAGGCGATTTCAACTATTCACTGTACTCCATAATACTCTTGAGGAGCTTTCCACTGATGGCCAAACAACACTAACGTAATACGGACAGGACACACACTCAGTGCTGAAGGAGACCCTGAAGGTCTAGAGAAGACTTGGATCTTTTGCAAAAGTTAAAGGTATCAAAATATTTCTCCATCCCTGATAACCAAACTAGGTCAACTATACGGCCCAAAGCAGCACTGAACTTGGAGTCAGAGGTTGGCAGAAAAGTTTGGAAAACTTCAGTTTTTAAAAGTTGGCAATTTCTCCACACTTAATAAAGCTATCAGAAGAGGTATCCGGTTTTGTTCATTTGTGGAATGTTGAGCTGCTTGTTGCAAGAAGTCACAAGATGGATAAGGAAACCGCGGAGATGCGCGCTCCAATGACAAATTGCTCTTAAAAATTTACAAATACCTAAAGTTTCTATTTAAAAAATAACCATGTTATGCCAAGATGAAACATGGTAACAAGTAGTGTAGGTTCTGACCATGATTCTTTTCACACAATGAGCGAGAAAGTGATAGAAATAATCTTCGTTAAAATTTCTCTTAAAAAGGAAGTTTTGTTATTGCACTGACGTTTACAACCTGACCTAGTCATTTAGAAAAAATCTTCTAGTAAAATCTGGAAAATTAAAATACAAAATCCTGATTTGTAAACATCAGTTGGCCAAGTCTACCCAGAATCCTTCATGATAGTGGAATGGAATGAATAATTAATTCATTGCCTTATTTGTTGGCTGTGAGGGAGAAAGTTCCAGAACACAGCTTTATATACTTTCACAGTAATTATATTAAAAAAAATATATAAATGAAGTCAGTGCAGTTTCTTCTTTCTCTTTCTCCCTCAGTGCAACCTTCCCTCTCTTACCCCACCTCCTAAGTGCCACAACCAAGATAATACTGCTTTGAAGACCCAGCAGGCTGGTCATAAATGCCGCATGAAGTCCGTGGGACTTCGGTAAAGGTATTTCCAAATGGCGTAATAGTGCACTGCAGCTGCTGTGGCCACAAACAGGTGCCAGATGGCATGGGCAAATGGAATAATGCCATCACTCTTGAAGAATACAACTCCTAGGCAATAAATGAGGCCTCCACATGCCAGCTCATGAAGGCCGTCTGTGTTGTTCTGTCAAGAGAAGAACAAAATAAAAATAAAAATAAGGGTTTGTTACTGTCACATGTTGAGTTCCACAGTCAGCTAGAACTCCTCTCGCCACACCCCCCCCCCGATATTTTCTAGCCAGTTGGAAGCTCTGCATGAACAGAACCTGAATCTACAGACGTCAAACACACGGAAACACTTTAACGTGGGATACTGTTTTGGCTTGTCAGTCTTCATTCTGTCCGACCATCCGATTACAGGCTCTCCACAAATCCCAGCACACTTCTGCCCATTCGCTGCATGTGAAAGCAAAATGCAACCAGCCAGACATGGGAAGTTCAATAGAATGGATGTCTTATCTTTCCCTTTAAAAGCGTTCTTGTCTGTGCAGACAGACTGAACCTCCTCCATTTATAGTTCATCCCTACCCCAGCTAGTGCTTTCAGTTCCCTTTCACCTCCTCAAACACTGTCTGCTTGGGGGGGGGCAATAGCAGGGGGGTGGGAAGGAACTTTGTCTGCCTGTGGGTGTGGCCTCACTATGGCTGACACAGGAATCTGGACTGGAAGTGTGGAAATGACTTCTGAACACACTCATCACCCAGTGTAAGTTCTCTCCTCACCTTTTAGATGTTCCCAGGCCTTTTATGTTTTTGAGCCTCAAGCGGGAAGCTAACAGTCCTGTGTGTTTTGGGACAAAGGAAAGAACTTTTTAAACCATTCACGGTTTGTAAAGATCTAGGACTATCGTGTGAACCAGAGGGTAGGGGAGAGAGGCAGTGCTTGGAAGCTAATGGAGGAGTAAGTCGGTCCCTCGGATATCTGAGGACTAGGAATAGAAAGGTTCTGATTTTGCAGAGTGAGGGAAATCTCAGGTAGATCATAAGAAGGCTGAGGAAAAGGACACTCGGTGATGGATACAGCCCTGTGAGCCCCGGAGCCAGCTGATCCCTGTGGCCAATCTGGCAAAAGCAGAAGGAAGCGCCAGTTCAGCCACCTGCTTAGAATGCACCCAGGGGCCTGCGCTGAAAGCAAGGAGCATTAGCTTAGGACCCAGTGTGAGGATCAGTCCTTGTTTCACAAGGTGTGTGTCAGACTTCATGGCCTCTGTGGGATTTGAAATGGTGATCCAAACTGATTTGGTGTGAAAGGACTTCAGCCACATGTTTTCTTGATTCTCCATGGGGTACAGGACCCCTGACATGGTTAAAAGTTGTGCATCTAATGTTCTTTAGTTTTGGAGGGAGAGGGAAAAGGCCGTTGAAGTAAAGTGACCTCAGGGAGGTTACAGAGCTGGTCAACACCCAGCTCCCTTCCTCAGATGCCTCTGTGGGGCTTTGGCTTGGTTCTGACCAACACTACTTTTCTCTTTCTGTTCAGATAAACAGGAGACCAAACCAAGTACACAAAGTTGGTAAGAGACAGTTCAAAACACCACATTTACCCGGTCCTCTTTCAAAGACCAGAACATTGGCCATTCTAAAAACAAAGCACTTTCTTTACTGCTGCTCCACATCAGGCACTAGCCTGATTTACTCATTTTAATCTCCATTGTAGTGACCTGAAGTCACTACTGCTTATTATCTTCATTTTCCAAATGAGAAAACTAACATTCTGCAGGATTAAGTCACTTGCTAAAGGCCAGGAAACTTCCAAGTGTCAGAATGAGATTTAAACTAAGGTAGTCAAGAACTTTAATTGGGGAAGTAGACAGGAATTATTATTATTTTTTAAAGTCTTGGGGCTTCAATTCAGGGCGTAGGCACTGTCTTTGAACACTTTTGTTCAAGGCTAGAGCTCTACTACTTTGAGCCACAGTAACACTTCTGGTTTTCTGATGGGCTGGCTTTAAACTGTGATCCTCAGATCTCAGCCTCCTGAGTAGCTATGATTACAGGCATGAGTCAATAGTGCCCAGCTGGGAAATACTGTTGTTGGGGGTTTTTTTTTTGCTTTGTTTTGTTTTTTAATGATGATTAATTTATGGTGTAATGTACAGATCTCAAGATAACAGTATAACTGGATAAATGTACATATCCATGTAAACCTAAATTATTTTGTAGCCATTTACAACACTGTGCATCTGCAGCCACCAAGGCAAGTGCAGACCCCAACCATAGGGACTAAGTCTACCCATTCTAGAATTTCACATAAGTCCAACTCTACTGTATGTGCCTTTCTGCATCTGCCATCTTTTCTGCTAAACACATATGTGTTCTGAAGTTCACAGAAGTCCTGGTGTATATTTTTTAAAATTCCTTCTTAATGTGGTTAATAGTCATTGATTTCTCTTACCTTATTTGTGTGTGTGTGTGTGTTTTATTTTTATTTTTTTACTTTTTGTTGCTTGGGGGTTACTATGGATACAATCAATATTTACATAATTTTAGAAGTCTTTTGTCAATGTGTGTTTTCATTTTGGTTGGGTAGCACCTGCTGAGTCACTTAAATATATGTCTAATTCTAAAGGAAACTAACAATACAGTTTTTGACACTCCTTCCAACAATAAATTGGGGGTAAGTGGGTTTCAGTTACTTAACTTCGCTAGGTTGAGTGTTTTCTAGCTTTCAATGTCAATCTTTCTACAAAGTATATAGTGGGAGCTCATTGAGACTTCCTTTTCCTGATGATAATGACATTGAACACTTTTTCCAGAGCTTCCTAGATACTTCTAGGTATCTTTGTGAAGTGTCTGTTCAAATCTTTCACCTAAATATAAAATTTGTCTTCTACTAAGTCTCCAGAGTCTTGGCTCATTATTTCCCTCACCATACTTTAGTAGTTTTTTTTTTTTGGTCCGGTTGTGGGGCTTGAACTCTGGGCCTGGGCGCTGTCCCTCAGCTCTTCAGCTCAAGGCTAGCGCTCTACCACTTGAGCCACAGCGCCACTTCCAGCTTTTTTTTTTCTCTTTGCTTATGTGGTGCTGAGGAATCGACTCAGGGCCTCGAGCATGCAAGACAAGCGCTCTACCACTGAGCCACCTTCCCAGCCCCATACTTTAGTAGTTTAATGCCATGCCCTGGTATAGTTTATCCTGCTTTGCTTCCACGGTGCTGTGTAGATCTGTAGGTAATATTTTTCAAAAAAAAGTTTTAGATGTGTCAACTATTATTTCTATTAGACTTCATTAGGCCATGTGATATTGTCTTGTGGGTTACTAAAGCTCTATCCATTGGGTGGTCACTCTTTCTTTCCTTGGGCTTCAGTCTGTAGTTTCTGAGGACTTGACCTCAATTTGACTTTTTTTTTTTCCTTCTACAATAAGCAATCTGTTTAATTGAGCTCTTTTGCTCAAAACTATCACTTTGAGCCACAGCACCACTTCTGGTTTGCTGAGGGTTAATTGGAGATAAGAGTCTAATGGATTTTCCTGTTGTAAACTATCCCATAATGTTTATTGAGGATGGCACTATATGGCAGATCAATGTCACTGCCAACATTAAGAGGCTGCTATGATTCTCTCAATCTAGGTGTTATGGTTAGAATCTAAAAATGTCTCCCAAAGCTCATGGGTCACAGATTTGGTTGCCAGTTGCTGGGCTTTTAAGAGGTGATTAGATGATGAGGCCTTCGATTTCAAGGATGAATTCATTATTTCATAGCTGGACTAATTAAGAGAAGATAGGGCCTGGTTGAAGGAAGTAGGTCACCGGAGGCATGATCGTGAAAAGTGTATTTCCTCTAGCTCCTTCCTTGGGGGTCTCTCTGCATCTTGCCCGTGTAGGGGCCACCTCTGTTCTGCTACACACTGCTCACCACTCCACTCTGCTTCACCACAGGCCCGGAAGCAACAGAGCCCATGGACTGAAATCTCTGACATCCTGAGCCAACATGAATCCTTCCTCCCATAAGTTGTTTTTCCAGGCACTTTGTCACAGAGATGAAAAATGACTAACACACAAGGCTAAGGCTCTGTTTCTAAGAAGTGGCTTAGTCAGGGCCAACTGTGTACTTGCAGTGTGATGGTCTCTTCGGCTGGAATGGCTGAAAACTGCCATGTGTCCAGCACTAGGTGCTTTCTGGAATCTTTGTTTCTCTCGTGGTCTGGAAATGGTTACTCTTGGCTAAGGCCCTCAGAGTTCTGCCCTGCTCAGATTCAGCCCGATGTGTGGGTCAAATCTCTCCTTTGTAGATTTCTAGAGCTGCTTCTCTCTGCATCTCCCTCCTCTCCAGCTGCTCCACAAACTGCTACAGCTGTCTCAGCAGTATGAAATGGCAATTTCTGTTTCCTCTATGCAGACTGCTGCTCTCTGGGCTCTATTTCCTTTTACTGCTACTTGGAATGTGTCCAGGGAAACAAATGGGGAGTATTCAAAGCTCCTTTTTGTTGTTGTTGTTGTTTGCTTTCTCTTTCCTCCACCTCAAGGATTATTCCTGTACTGCCCATGTTCAATGTTAAAAACACAGCTGTTTTCATTCTCATTTCCCAGTTCTCTACATCAGAAGCCTGACTCCCCCAAGGACAAGAACCAAGGCCTGGAGTCTTCAAGCAAATGATTATCTTGTTAGTCTAGATGACTTGCATAGTCCTTTTTGAGCTGGACTCTGTCTAGCTGTCCAGCTTCATTACAAGACCTGCACAACTTGCACACCTGTTTCAACACATATATGCACATGATCCAACAGGTGCATAAACTCCATCCATGCAAACAGTGAGCTATTTTAATTCCCCAGAGGTGCTGAGCCTTCTCCCAGTCCAGATTCCTTCATTCTCTACTCTTCCCCAATAACACAGCTCCAACTCCAACCATCTTGTGGCTCCTATTTGCCTTTCCTAATCAGCTTATCTATTGCTCCTGGTCCTTCTGTAGTGTGGTTTCCAATAGCAGCCTGAACGTTTTCTACTCACAGACATTTTAAAATGTTATTATAGCCTTTTCTTGGACCTGAGCTGTCTGTGCCTGTTGTAGTCTAGGTTATCTGATGGCAGTGTGGGATTACCCTGCTTCATCATCATAAACATTAGTCACCTGCTAGTGTCTCACTTATGAAAACGCCAATTAAAGATTTGGGCTAGTAAGAATACTGGATAAACCTGATCTTATGACACCAGAGGGAATTTAGTTGAAATTCTGCTCTAATCATCAGTAACCTATTTACGGAGACTGCTCAGATGGCTCTGGGTGGGTGTCCTGAAGTGCCCTGTAACTACATGGCTGTCATGGCAAATTTTCTCACTTCAGCTATTTGTCTCTTCTCTCCTCACCCTTCTCTGTTGCCTTTACCAACTTCTGATGCTAGTTAATTTTAAAAATCATCAAGAAAACCTTATATTTCAGAGAAATGGGTATTTTGTTAACTTTTCATAAGACATATTCTCTGAAAAAAATCAGAATCAGCTTTTATTCCAGCAGGTGTTTTGGAACCAGGCTACCAGTATAACTAGTGCCTTATGTCCCCATAGTGTGCCCCATGGAGTTTTAGAGTGAAATCCCAAGTATAGTACTTCTGACCACTACAGGCTGAGAAGGGAATTAAACTAATTCAAACAAAACACATTGGCTTTCTTTCAGGAAAACAGTGACTAATGCCAAAAAAGTTAGATTATAAGACACTCGAGCACAGGAGCTAAAGGTACAGTTGGATTGATCCATACGACTGCAAATGATGTATTTTTGTTTCAAAGTGACGGATACACAGATTTCTAAACAGTAATTTAATGTGAAATGGAAGTTCAAAATATTTCCACACAATTGCCTACTCACAATGATTTAACACTTCTATCCACTGAAGTTCCCAAAAGATATTTTCAAGCAAAGTTGTTTTATTTTTGTTTTTTTAAAGCACTCTCCTTGGAAAGAGAAATATAACTTAAGCGAAAGAAAATACATAACAGTGAACAGATTAGGGAACTCTCCAAATATTTATCTGTAGAAGCAAATGATCTTTTTCTATTTTTCCTCTTGGATTGTGGGACAGGTTCCCCCCTATGTGGCTCAGGTTGACCTCTCATAATCTTCCCACAAACAGACTTTTACGATCTTCTGATTCTTAAGATACCACAGGCCATAGGAACTTATATTTTCTTCACTACAAACAACTTAACACAGCACTTAGTCCAAGTTGCTGGCACATCTCATTATATATATTTTTTTTTCTTTTAGTTTTTTTTCCAGTCAATATATTTGTTGTAACTTCAAAAAGAAAACCAACATATTACATCTATGAGTACACACAAGCCCTAGTGACTTAGAAGGAAATATATGGGGAGACTGGTAGAAGAGTAACATTGATCAAGATACACTGTACCCATACAACTGAAACCCATTTGTACAACTACTACTGAAAGATAATTTTAAAAATTAAAACTGAAGGAGGTAAATAAATGAGGAGGCTGTTTCTTACCATTGATGTAACCACCAAGGCTGGAGAAAACCCCATGGTGAGATAGAAAAAGAGCTCAACTACTTTATACCTGCACAAACAGAAATACAGTTATTTAACACATGTCATTTGCGTAACACCTTTTACTTGTTTACTTTGAAAAAAACAAACTGCTCAATGTTTAAATGACACGCCTTTCCCAGTGGGAGCACAGTAGGCCTCTACATAATAGGTGATAGATGGTACAGAACTAGTCTTTCTTTCAAAACTCCACATGCTACAGAAAATGTTTTCTGCCAAAAGTGGCTGTAACTGAACCCAATCCAAAGTGTGTCTTTCCCTTTCTGGTGTGACAGTGCCTTTGCCACCATTTCAACCCAGATCTATGGGAATAGTAAAGGAGGAAGATGGAAAGATGGACAGGGCCTTGTTTATCAAGAGCAGAGGACCAGCAAGCCCTCTGGGAAAGGCATTTGAACAAATTCATGTTTCTAAGGTGATCGCTTTAGGCTACAGGACATCTGTGTTAATATTTAACATATCTGAACATAATATAATAAAAATTTACTTTTCTTAATAAAAGACAAAAATTGTCCAATTGGGATTTTTAAAATGTTGTTTACAAGCTGGGCGCTGGTGGCTCACACCTGTAATCCTAGCTACTCAGGAGGCTGAGATCTGAGAATCACAGTTCAATGCTAGCCCGGGCAGGAAAGTCCATGAGACTCTTATCTCCAATAAACTCCTCAGAAAAAGCCAGAAGTGGTGCTGTGGCTCAAGTGGTAGAGCACTAGCTTTGAGCAAAAGAAACCCAGGGACAGAACCCAGGCCCAAAGTCCAAGCCAAACAAAAATAAAAATAAAAATTCAACATATGTTTCTGCTTACTTAAACTAGTCTATAAATTCCACCAAGACCAGGACCAGGTTTTGTTATGTTTGGATCTATACAGATAAAGTGGTACAACTTAATGCTTGCCAAATGGAATGGCCAATATGATTCACACTTCATTTTAGTATTCTATACCCAGAAACTAGCATGAAGTAGCCAACAGGGAAAGAATGGACTCAAGGATGTGATTATAGCACAAGACCTGTACGGGAAGAAACAATAGCTTCCTTACTTTACTTCTATTTTATCCAAGGATATATCATTTAGGGGTGTAAGCCCAAGAAAGCAAACCATTCCCTGCATTTATGTATACCACATAACACCCCTTGGCATTGTAAATTACAGCTCAAAGTATTTAAGTGAAATTCAAAGTCAGAAAGAAATAAGCGAAAACTACAATTATCTTCTGACAGGAGAAAACAATTTAATTCTCTCTGACAAAAATACAAATTATGTCAATTCTCAGAGCCATTCTGTCAAGTGAAATGGACAAAGAATTTAAAGAGCTATAAATTAATAAAGCCAATTATTTTTTTATGATTGTGAGTGTCTCAAATTCATAATGAAAGGAGCTACAGAGCAGGAATTAGAACTGGAAGATGTGAACTCTAATTTCCAGATGATTCATATATTTGATTCATGTCCTAAATATTCTCAATTTTTAAGCATAAAGCTGCAGTGGAAGAACTTGAGGGTCTTATCTAGATCCAAGATGATAAATTTCAGGAGGCCTAAGCTCGACACTGGTGGCTCACACTTGTAATTCTAGCTACTCGGCAGGCTGAGATCTGAGGATCATAGTTTGAAGCCAGCCTGGGCAGAATGCAAGGGCATAACATTCTTTAATTCATACTTACACATTGTTCTTTAGGACCATTTTCCTAAAGGTATACTATTAAAGAAAATACCAAGACATATAAGGACACATCTGTCATTTCTAAATGTATGCCCTAGAATTAGGAGTTACAAGAGTAGATGGCAAATCTGTGAACACACAGACTCTAAGTCAGCTCTGTGCACACAGGCCATCCAGGTATATTCTGCTGAAGAGATACATACACCTGAGTATCACCCTGTGAGACTCTTATCTCCAGTTAACCACTCAAAAACTGGAAGTGGCACTATGACTTAAAGTGGTAGAGCACTAGCCTTGAGCCTCGAAAGAGCTCCAGGACAGTGCCCAAGCCTTGAGTTCAATTTCAGAAGGCTTTTCTTTTATACTACCTAACACTTATGTCTATGAACTATGAATAAGGGGTTAAATTGCTGTGCCCAAGGGCTAGGATACTGAGAGTTTGATGTGCTTCAAAATGGTCTTTTTCTCAGAGAAGCTTATTGGAATACTCTATAGACTTCCACCTTGGACCATTGATGTTGGTTACTGTCAAATCTTCACAAAAACCCTTAAAAAGAATTACTTTTATTATGATTGTGAATTACAGAGGATAAAATTAGTGTAAGTTAGGAGATGGCTCCAAAATGATTGACCACTTTTATTCTCAACCACATTGTACCATGTATATGCCATTCCTATCTGTCTCCCCATGGCAATCTATCCATCAAATACAAGTACCAAAGATTTACTGAAAGCATGATAAATTCCGTTTATGTATTTCTACTATTTTGAAGCATAAGCATAGAGAAAATGACTCTGCAACGCAGGTAAAATTTTAGAAAGTTAACTTTAAAACGATCCAATGTAAATGATTTGCTCTTACTTTTCATGGTAGAGAAATACATAAATGGTTCCTCCAGCTGCCATGAGCCAGATGAACCAGCGCATATGAGACGCCACAGGTCCGAGTTCACGGAGATTTAACCTACAGAAGTAAACATGAAAACAAAGAACAGAAAGGGTAAGTGAAGGCAATTCCCAAAACCATGTTGTCTTCTCATCATTGAAAACAAAATATACTGGGAGAAAGAAGGGCAGGAAGAAAATACTATTACGTGAAGTAAGCCAGACCCAAAGAAACATAGGCTCCATGGTTTCCCTCATTTGTAATAATTAGTATATTTCTAGCATAGTCCTAGCAGAGGATCACAACAGCTCAATAGCTAAGTACATATGACCATATAAAATGATGCTAGTTGAGGGGCTGGGAAGGTGGCTCAGTGGTAGAGTGCTTGCCTTGCATGCCTGAGGCCCTGGGTTCGATTCCTCAGCACCACATAAGCAAAAAGAAAAAAGCCTGAAGTGGCTCTGGGACTCAAGTGGTAGAGCACTAGCCTTGAGCTGAAGAGCTGAGGGACAGCGCCCAGGCCCAGAGTTCAGGCCCCACAACCGGACCCAAAAAAAAAAAAAAATGAGGCTAGTTGAAATGAACTCCAAGATATGGAAACAAGAGGTTTGTTGTTGTTGTTGTTTTTAATGTACTATGTGAAATTACTTCTTTTTTCTTTCACTTTTTCCCCCTTTGATTTATCCTGTTGTCACTCTTTGATTTTGGCATCCCGTGTCTTGTGTATATGTTTATCTGAATTGGAGAAGGAAGGGGGAATAACAAAATGGTAAGACAAAGGACAAAAGGTTGAACCAATGCAACAGCAATATCCATAAGACATTACGTTGTAAATGAACTTTACAGCTGGGGTGGGGAAGGAGTCAGAGGAAGGGAAAGTGGGAGAAAAACGAGGGAGGGAGTAACGCTGTTCCACAAGAAATGTACTCATTACCTCACACATGTAACTGTAATCCCACTGTACAGCACGTTTAAATTACATTAAAAAAGAAAAAGCACTCAACACAACGAAGAAGTGAAGGAAGTATTTGAGCAACTGGGGTGAAATGAATAAGTCAAGGATAACATTGTCAGCCTTTACAATATGGGTTGAAAATAGCACTAGCTAAAACACAGACATGCAAAATTGGGTTGCAGAGCACCTGTAGTGTCTGACCTTCTCAAGCAGGGGCACACTGAGTAAAGGCTGCTTGTTCTTTTTTTTATTTCTGAACATGTATTTGGAAGTAGATTGCTTACAAAGCTTAATAAGAACCCTCAACGAAATCCTGAACCAGATCACATAACCACAGCAGATACCTAATACTCACACCCCACGTCTCCATTATCAGCCTCTTTGCCAAGAAAGAATATGAGAAGAACTACTGCAGCAGGTGTTATGGAAGACTTTTTGTAAGAATTTAACCAGAGGTCCGGATTTCCTAATGCTACAAATTCAGATGTACTCATTTCATATTAAATATTTTTTTAAAAACAAATACTCTGGCTCTGATTACAAATGAAAAAGATACCTCTTGAATACTTAAAACCACACCTGAACAAATTGTGTACTTCAGTATCTGATTCCTTAGCTCATGTCCTAATTTTTTTAACTTTATTTACTTAAATTGAAGTATATTTATTTCACAAAAGCTTATGTATTCTTGCTCCAATGAATCAGACCTATAATTTAGTAAGAGGATTTTGGGAGAGCTAGCACCACCTGCTTTTTATTCTAACAGGTAATTATATTTCTTTGAATGACTAAGACTGCCTTAGCCAGAATCCAGAGGCCTGCTATTTTTAATGATGACAGCACCTGATAGCATTATGAACTTCTGCTTAAAACCGGACCCTATCTTCCTTGACTGAGGAAAACTGTTTATTTAATAATGAGATTTAACACACAAAAGATTGTATGTGATCTGCACCAAAATGGTAATTAGACAAAGGAACCTGAACCACTCTAAGTATTTTAAGTAGTTATTTGGTTTAGTTTACTTACTCAAAGAGTAGGAGAAATAAGAAATGAGCAAGTATCTAGTAGCCACTGTGTTGTGAAACCAATTGAAGACACACAATATAAAATTTTAATGATTTTAAATATACTCAAATTCATATTTCCCCTTGAAGAATTCAGTCTCCAAGTATTCTGAGAAGCAACAGAGTGTATGGAAGGATACGGATGGCCAAGGTTATATATTTCAAGAGAGAACCTGCTAACCTACATACAAGCTTACCGCACTGCTTGTTAGGACCATCCAATGCCCGGATTACTCTTTCTGAACAGCAGCAATATTCTCCCCTTCACATCTCACTCAAGTAAATCAAATTGAGAAAAAAAGAGTATGGGTGTGTTGAGAGGAAAGGTGGGTTGTATGTATGAGGGGTGGAGGCAGGGACAGGAGGAAGAAAGCAAAGGTGTGAATGAGGGAGCTATAAAAACACAGAGATTATATCTTACCACGGAGCATAAGAAGCAGCAATGAAGAAATAGATAACCATCCTGTCACACATGTGAAAACAGTGCTCCACCGTCCTGTGGGAAGAGAAAGGGAGCGTAAACAAGTTACACTCAGATCTTGACCAATTTTCAGACTGGAAGAATGGGTTACTGCCTTGCAATTTCCATTCTTATTCTAATTCTTCATGGTATTCACGACTTGCCCTTCGAAGCCACAGCTTTTGTCTTGGATGCTATGAAGCTGACTTTCTATTATTATTGTTGTTTGTTTGTTTTAGGTTGCAAGAGATATATAGAAACAGGACTGGAGTCCCCATGAATAGCTGAGAAATCTGAAGTAGTTAAAATGAACACTGGGCTGGGAAGGTGGCTCAGTGATAAGAGTGCTTGCCTTGCAGGCATGAGGCCCTGGGTTCGATTCCTCAGCACCACATAAGCAGAAAAAGCTGGAAGTGGCTCTGTGGCTCAAGTGGTAGCCTTGAACTGAAGAGCTGGGGGACAGTGCCCAGGCCCAGAGTTCAGGCCCCATGACTGACCAGAAAAAAAAAAGTATCTTTTCTGCTATGTTCCATCCCCTCAAGATCTTATCTAACAGGAAGATGAAATTCCTTGAGAAAAGATGATTGTCTATCACAGTACAGGGCACAAAGTCCTAGTGGTCCAGTAAACCAACTCCCTGAACTGAGGTCATGTTCTTTTCAGAAGATCTTTATTCAAAGAAGCATTTGCTTTAACCTAAGTGTAGACAGTCAAGTTGTAATAAAGAACACTCAGTAATTTAGAAACAACAACAAAAGTGTAGTGCCTTAAGTGGGTGGCTGCTTGAATTTCTAAAGAAGTCATTCCATCAAAAAAAAAAAAAAAGACAGGATGTGCACATACAAAGATCTAGCTCGCTGAGATCTATAGACAGATAGTCTGCCCTTACTGAGATAACTGAGAAGTATCAAGGCAATGTATTATCATGAATCTATTTTCAGTTCCCCAGGGGAAACTGATTTGGTAGAGCACCGCTGTTCGGCTCTCTCTCTCTCTCACCACATATAGAACCATGGTCAAAGCACACTGATGAGGATGCATTAGTGAAGAAATAAAAAGTATATACTGTGAGAAAGCATGACTTTCAGTCTACTCATCAGGAGTCACCCCTTACCCTGAGGTAATTAATTTAGGTCACAGATGTCAAGACACAAACACTAGGTCAGTGCTTCTCAAACCGGACAATGTATTAGAATCACCTGGGGAGTATACAAATGTAGCTTGTAGACTCCGGGCTAGAAGATGCTACTCTGAAAGCGCTAGGAGATGGCATTGGGGGGGAGGTGGGTGGGTAAAGGGAAGAAGGGGCATCTTTGCTTCTTCTTTTAAACTCCTGGGAAGACTGTGATTTCTTTGACAGGGTTAAGACCTTTCTCATGGTGCTTTCTGCATTGCTGCACATGGCTAGAGCAGGTAGTCACACCTAGGTCTTATTCAAGATCTGTTGCTCACCTCTGACTCTCAGTATTCTTGCAAGTAAAATGTAAATAATCCTAGAGTAGGTAAAGCACTACATGTGATGATGTAGCACAAGTATCTAGCACACACTACCATGTCTCTCTAACATATATAGGCACCTAACATGTTCACAATATAATTGCTAATTCCCTTCTCCCATTTAAACTAAGGTTTTATTTAGCACTTTTAAGAAAAAGGGAATGCAGAGCACACATCTACATGTGGCTTATGATTCTAGCAATGCTCTTTCAAGGTTTAAGAGAGTCATGTTTCCATTACACCTTCTTCTCCAGCCCCTGCCAGGGAGGCCCTGAATACTGAAGTAGGCATCTACAACTCTTTATTGATTCAGAAATCTAGACATCAAGGCCAAGGCTGCTGAGGAACCACGAGCACAGGCTTGTGCCAAGAAGATAATGAAGTACTCTGTTTCCAGACAGGCCTCGGGGCCCTGCAACAGTAAGAAGCCAGGGACAGAACCGAAGGGAACCGAACCTCTGTGGCTTTCTTGTGAGTACATCCCACAATGCCCTTGTGAGTCAATGCTGTGGTTTTATTTTAAGCCCAAAGAACTGTCACCTTATAGGAAAGGGTGGCAGTCTATCAATTGTGCAATATTGTGAAGGATATGCTGAAGAGGACACAGGGTTACAAGTCTGGGAACGATATTGTGCTGCTGTTATCTCTGACTCGGGCGAGTCAGGTCCCTTCTGGGCTGAAACTGAAGGGTATAGACTAAATAATCTCTCAGTCTTCTTTCCAGCTTTAACATGATGTTCCATGTGATAAAACCAATAACGATCTCATAAATCCCAAATGAAGCCTATCTTTTGATAGTTGAGATTTATTTTTTTACCATTCTACGAAACCAAAGAAGTTTGGACTTCTTGGTTATTTTAGGTTTTCTTTTGTTGTTGTTTGTTTTTTAAGCAGGGTCTGGCTTATGTATAGCCCAAGCTGAGTAGGAACTTGAAATTCTCACGCCTCTGTCTCCCCAGTGCTGGGACTGTGGGCATATCTGCAACATTCAAAAAGTAGTTTCGAATTATTACCTTAAATCACTCTTCATCTGTGGAGCTCTCCTCACTGGAACACCTCTGGGCTAATTCTATTAAATTAATTCAGATTCTATTTTGCAAGCAATTCATTTCACCCTAGATGGTGAGCTGTCTCTCTCTCCAGTTGGTCTTTCATGCAGAGAAGGAACACTGTTATCTCCTTCTTGTTGGTAAGTTAAGAGCTACCGTACCTTACTGGTAATAATGGCAAAACATGTGAATTTTTGTTTATTTGGTGTTTGGGGGTTGGTTTTTTTTTGGTTTATTTTTGTTTTTTAGTTTTCAGACAGAATCTTGATATACAGCTCAGGCTAGAATGGAACTGTTGATCCGTCTGCCTTAACCTTCTAAGTGCTGGGATTATAGATCTGTGCCACCACATCTGGCTAAATTAAATATGTAAGTTTTGAATCATATACAAAGAACTAAGAGCGCAGCTTCATAGAACAGAATATACCCCAACTATAATATACTTCCTTACACCACACAGTCTTAACATTCTTTTGTAATTTTCAAACTATTTCCACATATATTATCTTAGTTACCTATTCCAGGAATCAGGTATTACAACTCTCATTTTAACAATGAAGCCACTGAGGGTCCATGAGCGACAATGACCTGTTATACAGCAGAACTGGACCCAAAGTTTACATGCTGACTCCATGTCCAGAGCACTTCTGTGAGGAAACCTCAGCTCTCTCTTCTCTTATAGTGAGTATTTTCCAACTGGGAAGCAGCTCGTGAGATTTTTGAGGCCTAAGACTTGGGGAGCCAAGGAGATACTGCTTTTAATTACTTGATCAAAGACTTGTTTTTTTCTTAGAGGCCTAAGGGGCTGAGGAGAGGAATCTTCAAATTCTATCCAACCCCAAGAAAATATCCTGGTTTGTGGGATAGCATTAATACAAAGGCAAGAACATGTCTACTCTTCAGAGGTTTGAGAGTCCCTAGTAGACTAAATCAACTACTTGGGCCTGCCATCCACAGTACCTTAAGTGGCTCTTTTTCCACGATACAATGTGAAAGACTGTGGAGACGATGAAGAGGGCGCAGAGGCCCATTCCATAAATCCATGCTGTTATCTTCTCCCAGCAGTCATCAGACAGCCGATGCAGAAGGGCACTGCCCACAATGGCTGGAATGATGAGGAACTAAGGGAAAGGTAGGCAGAAAGTAAACATTCTCACTTTTAGAGGACCGGGAACGAATTTAGAAAATGATTTGAAAAGAGATGCTTCCCTCTGTCATGAGAGCCTGATGAAGTTGCTGCTTGCTGTGCTGAGGGCGGTATTGACATCTCAGCCCAGAGGCAATGCCAGGCAGTGGGAACACAAATAGACCAAAACACAACAGTAGGCAACCGTTGCAAAACAGATGTCCTTTATCCTAATTTCACTAGACAAGGACATACTTCTTTCTAAT